TTGAGAGTTTTTCTTTCCGGGGGTTCGCACGAGGTTGCAGTCAGACCTACAAACGACATTGCTTTCTGCAATATTATTCTGCAGTGACCTTTCTTCTTCCATAACCCCTTCAATCTCTTGCTCACCTTACATAGCACATGAGTGAAATACCACTACTACTGCTACCACCAACCCTCGGCCCCTCATCTCCAAATCTCGATTGCCCCTCGATGCGAAGCTGCCCGCCTCGCCTAAGATGAGAGAGATCGTGATACTGCCCCGGAACCCTCGGCGCAGCCAATGACAAAAGCCCAGTTTGCACTGTTGTTTGTGTTTACTTCGTCAAGCTGTGGGTAGGTGTGTGTGTGTGCTGTCACTGCAACCCCGGATTGCAGGCTTCTACCCAGCAGCATGGGGCATACTGAGACGTTTCCCAAGGGCCGCTTTGGCGCCGTTATCGATAGGGGCCGCCTGGAATTCGATCGCAGCTATCGGCATCGAGCCCGTTGAGACGAATCGAGGCGGGGGAGGGGAGGACGCATGGCAATGCCATAGAGCGCACCAGCCACAGGGCGGGATGAGCGTGGCTTTGCTTCTGACTAGGCCGCAATGCCATGAACGCCTCACTCGAGCTGTGCCGGCCGAGGTCTTGGGCGAGGCGTGCCTTGCATCCGCATGGGCCAGCATGCCTCTCTAATTATGTGTGTAGGTGGAGGTGTGTCGTGTGCTTGTCAAACTGGACTGCGCAGTAGCTCAGGTGCCTTACCTAAGACAGCACTAACACGAGCATCTGCAGGTACCAGAGATACTGAGCACTGTTCATCACGGTCCCCCCCTCCGATGTCCACCGCGGAATTGACACACCTGAGTACCTTGCCAACAGAGGCAGAGAGGTTCATGAACCGGAGCAAAAGCCACCGCCCGAGCTCCAATGCGAAACTGCATTCCAGCCAGCTGAACAGGCTGCTCTGCACTGCATCCCCTTTCCCAGGTAGGCGAGGAACAGGAACGCGGGCTCGTTCGTGGTGGACGATCCCTCAGATTCCCCCCCACCCCCGGACTCCGGCGTGCTCTTTCTTTCTGGGGGGTTGCGTGCCTGCCTCAACCCTTTTTTCGGAATCGTCCCTCGGAATCTGACCCGTCGGATTGCGACGGCACAATTTCCATTCTCTCTCTCCCGTCCTGCTGCTCCCTCCACCTCCGGAATCGCAGATCAACACTTTTTTCTTTTTTTCCCACCTCCGACCTTCTTTACCTAACGACCAGTTGTAGGCGATACGGATAGCCCAGGAGCTTCGTCGTCTCGAAGTACGTCCAGCCAAGCGAGTCGATTAATCACCCAATTCGTCCCATATCTCCCCGGCTACGATAACCGCCCATCATGACCATCACCAGCGTCACACGCAACGAGCTCTGGAGGCACCCGGACCCCACCTCGACTCCCATGTGGGCGTTCCTGCTCAAGGTCAACTCAAAGTACGGCCTCCAGCTGAACGACTATCCCGGTCTCTACAAGTGGTCCATTGAGAATGTTGCCGAGTTCTGGGAGGAGGTCTGGCACTTTGTCGGCATCACTGCCTCAACCCCCTTCGACAAGGTACGCCGGACCACTCGCTCCGTCCATCACACATTATCCAAAACCAAAAAGAGCCCAGCGTCAACCTCCTATTGCCCATTGCTTTACCCTGCTTGGTACGCCATGACATATCCCAATACCAACGAAATCAATGGGAGACCGTCCAGCGTGTGAGATGTGGTGTGAGAGCACCATGAAGATCCAAACTCTACTCTCTCGCCCCTATGCGCGCAAGTGCCAGCAAGAGGAGCAACAGCGGAGATGAGGACGCCGAATCGTCGATGTCAAACCCCCGCCACCAGTGTCTTGAACCCTCGTCAGAAGCTCCCCTCATGAACAAACCTTGGATGCAAGCTCTAGCAAAAGCAGAAAGCTCTGCGTTTTCCAGCACCCCCCCTCATCTGCATAACGAACATCCCATCCTTTTCGAGTCATGCCATACTCTCAGTCTCACCCAAGCTTTTCGCCGCCCAAGATGATCAAATCATCATGGGAAATTGCCGAAATCCCATTCCAGACGCTGATCTTGCCCACAGGTCCTCCCTCCCAATGCGCCCATGTACCCCCGACCGGACTTCTTCTCCGGCTCCCGTCTCAACTTCGCCGAGAACCTCCTCTTCCCCGCAAACACCCCGATCGACCCCACCGCCGTCGCAACAATCACAACCACCGAACTCGGCCCCTCAGTCTCCACAACCTGGGCCGACCTCCGCGACTCCGTCCGCCGCTGCTCCGCCGCCCTCCGCGCCCACGGCCTTGGCCCCAACGACATCGTCGCCGGCTTCGTCTCCAACCACCACCAGGCCCTCGTCGCCTCCCTCTCCGCCGCCGCCATCGGCGCCATCTGGACCGGCATCAGCCCGGACAACGGCGTCAGCGCCGTCCTCGACCGCCTCGCCCAGATCTCCCCCAAGGTTCTCTTTGCTGACAATGGCACCGTCTACAACGGCAAGGAGTGGAGCAGCACCGACAAGACGGAAGAGATCGTCAGGGCCCTCGCGCCCAAGGGCCTCGAGTACGTCGTCGTCATCAACAACGTCGCCTGCGACCTCGGCATGGACGGCCTCAAGACGACTGGCGTCGGCGCCGAGGAGTACACCTCCTTCCTCGCATCCGCGCCTAACGTCCCGCTCCACTTTGAGCAGCTGCCCCCGTCTCACCCCCTCTACATCCTCTACTCCTCAGGCACGACCGGCCTGCCCAAGGCCATCGTCCACACCGCGCTCGGCACCCTCATCCAGCACAAGAAGGAGCACCTCCTCCAGGGCTCCCTCACCTCCCGCTCCCGCATGCTCTACTACACCACCACCTCCTGGATGATGTGGCACTGGTCCGTCTCCGCCCTCGCCGTCGGCGCCACCCTCGTCCTCTACTCCGGCTCCCCCTTCAAGCCCGACGGCCACCTCTCCCTCCCGCGCCTCCTCTCCTCCCTCCGCGTCACCCACTTCGGCACCTCCGCCGCCTACCTCACCGCCCTCGAGGCCGCCCAGGTCTACCCCGTCAACGAGCCCGGCATCGACCTCTCCGCCCTCGAGGCCATCTACTCCACCGCCTCCCCCTTGCCCCCCTCCACCTTCTCCTTTGTCTACAAAGCCTTCCCCGCCACCGTCAACCTCGCCAGCATCACCGGCGGCACCGACATCATCTCCCTCTTCGGCGCCCCCTGCCCGCTCCTCCCCGTCCGCGTCGGCGAGATCCAGTGCGCGGGTCTCGGCATGGCCATCCGCGCCGTCGACTCCCTCTCCGGCGGCGACCTCCCGGACCCCTCCCACCCGGGCGACCTCGTCTGCGTCCGCCCCTTCCCCTGCCAGCCGCTCACCTTCTTCGGCCCCGGCGGCGACGACAAGTACCGCGCCGCCTACTTCGACCGCTTCGCCGACATCTGCGACGCCCAGGGCGCCGTCTGGCACCACGGCGACTTCGTCAAGATCCCCAACCCGGCCACCGGCTCGCTCGTCATGCTGGGCCGCTCCGACGGCGTGCTCAAGCCCGCGGGCGTGCGCTTCGGTAGCGCCGAGATCTACAACATCCTCACCCGCTTCTTCCCGGCTGAGGTCGAGGACGCCGTCTGCGTCGGCCGCCGCCGCGCCACCGACTCGGACGAGACGGTCTGTCTTTTCGTGGTGCCCGCCGCGGGCCAGACATTCGACGACGAGCTGAGAGCAAAGATCAAGAGCGTCATCCGCAGGGAGCTGAGCCCCAGACACGTCCCCGGCGTCGTGGAGGAGTGCGGCGGCGGCATCCCCAAGACGGGCAACGGGAAGAAGTAAGTTATCTCTGCGTTTTCTTTCTCACTTACTTGAGTTTGGTTGGTTGTGACTAACACACCGCCTAGGATCGAAGTCGCCGTCAAGCAGATCCTCTCCGGCATGAACATCAAGACCAACGCCTCCGTCGCGAACCCCGAGGCGCTCGAGTGGTTCCGCGCGTGGGCTGCGGCGAACTAATCACCCAACACTGTTATTTTCGTTGTTGCCCTTATTGGGCCGGTTGGTGGTGACGAGGTCTCTCATACATGCGGCCGTGTGGAGAGAGAGGGGGGGAAGAGAGATTTGCCGCATGATCGCCCCCTTGGTGCCGCGTGGGGGTCTACCTGCCAAAAAGGAGAGGGGTGGGCCGCAGCAAAGCGACCCCCACGCGCCGCCTGGCCCTATCTGCCCATCTCCTCAAGCCTGCGTCTACCTTTTTGCACTTTTCGGAACGGACCGAGGACGGGGGGCGGGGGGAAGAGATATACATGCGTGCGCCCACTAGTGCTTCTGGACCCGATCGTTCGGGTTCGAAGGAGATGGACGATAAGCCAGTCCGAGGAGGGAAGGGTGTGAGTTTAGAGTCCACCATGGATGGGTCTTGTCCTTTTTATTTTCGACTACATCTCTTCATGTTGCGGTCTTGCCTTGGGAATCTAGATGGCATTTCTTATGGTTATTGGCGATAGAATGTGTCGGCCCGGACTTGAGACCGGAGACACTGTAATACAGGATAGAGGCTGTGGCATGGTTGGAATCTTGGTTACATAAAATTGAACGTCACGATGTCCGGATATTGGACGGTTCTTTCCGTGATATCGTTGTGAACAAAGTTAGCGCAAGACCGTCACGAACTCGAAGAAAGTACATCACAGGAGACGAAGAACACTACGTCGAAAAACAGTGAACATAGAAATATTGATATTGATAAAAACTCGGCCATCTCTGTGACCAGGCTAGTCATGACGATAATCATACCCATTAACTCCTATTATGATGCATTCGTCCATGCAGGGGGGACAGTGCCCTCTCTTGCTTTTTGTCTTCCTTCTCTTCCCATGCTTTGTTTTCTTTTCTCTTCGCACCACCCATGCGTGTATCCCAGCCATTAACGAACCCCCAATAATTCCAGTATCCTATATCATGCAAACAGAAAAACAGAGTTGCGCCGATTCTAGAGTCCCAAAAGGGAGCCTCTATTGGATCTTGGACATACGCTTGGCCATGCTATGAAGGAGTTAGTCAACCGTTTCGTGTAGTCATGTTTGGTGGTGGTGGGAACTTACAAGTCGTAGAAAGCAAACTGGCTAGGCTGGCTGCCAAATTGGTAGACAAACCTCGAGGCGAGGTAGCTGCCAAAGATGGCGCGCAGGTAAGAGTCGGGGACGCGCTCGATAATGGTGTCGAGACCAATCTTCTCGATCAGAAGGTTGGGGAGGGCGTCCTGGAGAACGGAGCGGCGGATCTGCTCGTTCTTCCAGAGGTCGGAGTGCTGAAGCTCCTCGTCCAAGGTGGTGATGGCGTTGGACAGGTTGTCGGACAAGATGCTGCGGGGAGTACCAGTCTCCTCGTGCTCGCGCCAGATGGCCTCGAACTCGAGACGGGCGTTCTCGCAGATCTTCTCCTGGACGGACTTGACGTAGTCCTGGTAGAATTGAGGAGCCTGGCCCTTGGCGTCGTGGCACATGTGCTTGAGGAAGTTCTCGTCGTCGAAAGCCAACGAGGCGAGAACCTCGAGGGAGGAAGAGGTGACACCACCCTTGTTGGCACTGGCGTCCTTGTACAAGATGCAGCCGGCTTCCTCGAGGCGGAGCTTGGCGTCCTGAGTGATGAACAGGTTGGCGCCCTCGACCAGGTAGGGGATCGTGGACTTGCCATCCTTGATGATCTTGTTAACGGAAATCAGGTCAATCGATTCGGGGCGGCCACCGCAGGGAACGAAGCAATCGGTGAGACCAGTGTCGCGCAGGTGGTAGGTGTTGCGGAAGGTAGTGCCGTTGGAGATGAACTCGCCAGTAGGCAGGTTGATGTTGCTGTCATCACACAGAATGCGGTATCCGTCCTTGGAAAGCTTGGACATGTCAAAGTTGTTGATCATGGCACGAGCCTTGGCCAGGCGCAGAAGCTCCTCCTTGTCGAGTCCGTTGGGGTCAACGAGGACACCGGATCCGTCAACAATGGAAGTGTACTTCTCGTTGCTGAGGAGGATCTCGTTGCTACCCAGGTCACCGTCGGGGCCACCGGTCTGCATCTTCCTGACCGTAGAGGGGTCAAGGTTGAGCTTGCGGTAGATACCCTTGACGTACTCACGGACGGACAGGGTGGTCATGCCGTAAGTGTCGTGGGGAATACCACCAAGCTTGGGCGACTTGCCGGTGAAGAACGACTTCCACCACGGTGCGCCGCGAGCGCGGGCGTGGTGAGTAGCCCAGTTGACAAGCTCTGCCGTGTTCTCGTCAGGACCCATGAACAGGATCTCCTCCTTGCCGTACAAGTCCACGATAGGGTTCTTAATGCCGGGGGAAGAGGCAGGCAGCAGGAGATCGAGGATACTGTCAATGTACTTCTCGAAAGCCTCCTCGGCGCGGTCCTGCATCTTGGGGTCGAGAAGGATGACACCCTTGGAACCACCCTCGGGAATGTCCTTGTTCTTGCGCTGCTGAGTGCTGGCAAGACCGTAGTTCTCGTCAAAGAGGTTGCGGGCGTTGATGCTGTAGGCCTCCTTGCTGCGGGACTTGACGATACGGATACCACCACGAGCGATGTCCTTGAATCGGAGGTGGAAACCACGAGACTCGGCGCCAATGACCAGGAACATGCCGTAGAGACGCTTGGGGTACTCGATCTCAGGGAGGAAAGAGGGGTCCAGGCGGAAACTCAAGGCGACCTTGGTGGGAGTGAAGTAGTTGGTCTTCAGGATGGCATTGTTGAAGACGCGGAAGGCAGTCATGACCATCTCCTCGTGCTCGTTGGAGACATCACGAGTAATGCGCTCCTTGAGCTTAGCATCGGACAGAACCTCGATGGCGGGGGTTGGGGCGATGAAGTGGCGGTCGAAGTCGGGTCCGACGGCAAGATGCACCGAAGCGAAGGAAGCATATAGAATGCGGACAAGGCCAGGGTACGACTGAATAATTTCCAGGATGTAGTCGGGAGTGAAGGTTTCCGTCCTCAGGCGGCGCTTGAGCTTGGACAGGAGAGCGGTCTGGGTCGGGTTGTTTTGGTCCAGAATTTGGGACAGAGAAACGTACTCGGAACCAAGACGGTTCAGGAAGTGCTGGATAAAGACCCAGACGCAGTGTCCGTAGACAGTCTCCTGGAGGGAGAGCTCGCCGGTACTGAAGAGCGAGTGGAGCTTGTTCTGGGGCAAGCAGTACAGGAGAGAAATCTCCTTGGTGATCTGGTGGATGGACTGGTCCAGAGGAGGGAAGTTGCCCTCGATGTTCATAGCAGGTCGAAGGTAAATACTCATAACGGTTATACCGTTCGCGAACTGCTCGACGTACTTTCTGGAGCTGGTGACACCGTAGTAGTGGTACAGGTCGGAGAGGGCAGAAAACAGGCCCCGGGCCGTGCGAGAGCGGAAGGCAATAACAAGGCGCTTCTCGGCAGAGCCCTCGATGTCGAAGACCTCGATGACGGGGCCGGTTCTGTTGACGGCAAGCTCGATAATCTCCTGGTAGATCTGCTTGGTGTTGTTGGTGGCCTTCTGGAGGAAGCCGTGGTCGGCAATGACCTCGAGACGGGTCTCATTAGGGTCGGTCGTCTCCGGGCTCTGCTTGAAGAGGCACTGGTAGACGAAGTAGCAGCGAAGGGTGGCCTTGGACGCGGGCGATGCGCCCAGAACACCAGGAGAGCGGAAGGTCTCGACGCGGAACTTGGTCTTGCCAACGTGGTCCAGGTACTTGGCCTCGAGTCTCTGCTCGTATCGCGGGCCGCCGATCGAAGTCTTGCCGGGCTCGCTCGTGTCGATGTAGATGGCGTGGTCTGGGGCCTCCATGTCGAGTCTGATCTCCTCACGCTTGTCCTCGCGCGCGAACGCGGCAACCTTGGCAGCGTACAGCGAGGTGATCTGGCTGGCAATGACCTCAGGGCTCTCGATCTTGAAGTAGACATCGTCGATGCCAAGCTCGTCGTAGAACCACGTTACTTGCTCGTCAACGAGGACCTCGGGAATCCAGCCGTTAGTCTTGAGAAGCCCACGGACTAACACGCAAGTTAGCATCACCCAATAGCCGTAGTTTTGAAGCTCATGGCTTACCCTGGTCCATCTGCTCGAGCTTGCCGACAAAGGTGGGCGCAACGTAGCCGACTGTCGCGGAGCGCAGGACTCTGTGTCCGTTGCCGTTGGCGCGAGCAGCCATGGGAACGCTGAAATGTGTGGGTTGGGGAGAGGGGCCGCGGCTGCTCTCTGCCGAGTCGGCCTGGACCTGACCCAGCATCTTGTTGCGAGGGGGGGCGGCGGTCGCCATCATGTCGCCTATTTCCTCGGTGGGAGAGATATCCTCGTAATTAGGAAACCTGTCCATGGTAGGAAGGTCAGTATTGACGTTCAAGGCCAACATTGTGTGTGTAGGCGTTGTATCAAAGCAGCATGGGATCGGGAGGTGGCGGGAGAGGATTGGGTTTGACGGGATGACGAGAGGGAAGCTGAGCAGAAGGGGCGGCGACCCAAAGGTCTAAGTAGCCGGCCCAACAAGTACCCAACGAAGCATCGCAGCAACCAGGAGAGTTACATGATGAGAGTGAGTCAGCCTCGGACTGGCTGGCAGCAGAGCACAGCTCAGGTCTTGGAGCGCCCGTAGCAAAAACCGGGATCGGTAGTGGCTCGTGTGATCTAGAGCAGGCTTTCTTCTCTAGAAGGCGGCTGGGAATGGAACCGAGCTGTCTAGGTGCAGGTACAGGCGCAGGCGCAAGTGTAGGTGAAGGTGCAAGGTGCTATCTCTCAGGGAAACGCAGGAATCGAGAGAGCAACGGGGAGAGCATTGAAGCTTCACCGCTGGACGCTCGTACATGGACAAACATGATGTACTGATAAGGCAAATAAAGAAGGGCAAGGGGGTGGGGAGTGGGAATGGGCGATGCGATCAGGAAGAATCCGTGAACGTGGACGGACGTACCTTGCGTCTCGGGAGGCTAGTGCAATGCTGATCCGATTCAAATATACGGGACCAGGTGACAAGCAGGCGCAGAGCTAAGCAATGGGCTCGGATACCTGCTTTTTGCGGTATGTCTGGTTGGTTGGGGGTCGAGAGAAGAATGGGCGAGGAACAGAGACAAAAAGTCGGTTCCGGGGAGGAGTGTAAATATCGCGTAGGGGGTGGTTGTTGGGATGGTGCACCCGACGACGACTGATGTCAAAGTCTCGGAGAGGCGATCCGGCGGGGCAATTTGCTTGGTCCAGGCAACCTGTTATCGCTGGACTTTTTGCGATGATAAAGAACCGAGAATGTCTCGTTTCCGGGAGCCAATGCAATTGCAGCTCTTAAAAGGGGGCACCCGACGAACGCGAAGACGGGACGAAGGATGAGGTCAGGGGTGAGAGGTGTCGTAGGAAGTACCGAATCTCCAGGCGGCAGAAAAAGCTAGCTTGGAGGGGACGATATATACGTTTTCCGCGTCGGCGAGGGAAAGCTACCGCGAGCAAAAGCGCGAGGGAGTTTCCTTGTAAGTCGTGGGCGACGGGTGGTCAGCAGGACCTGATTACTCCTGAGAGCGAGAATCGCAAATTGGCGTGAGGGCGGTTAAAGTGCGTCAATTGACGTAGGTAATGGGGATCCCGGACAACACAGCCATCCGACCGGCTAGAAGCTGATGTTGTTGGATATTGTTGTTGCTGTGGTGGTGCTGATGGTGACTTCTTTTGATGTGGCGACGCCGAGGGGCAGGCGGTGGAGAGATAAGGACCCTTGAAGCTAGGTTCTTGGGTTGGCCAGGTCCAGTCTGCGTTCAGCTGAAAATAGCAGCAGCGGGCGGACACTCGGGACAGAGAGGTGCGGTAGGTACGGCCACAGGGCTGTGAACGCCTTGGGTGTGGACGGACGGAGGCACGGAGAGGCAAGGCAAGGCAAGGCGAGGGAAGGGGAAACCGAGCTAGGCCGGCGTATGTAAGATGGATGGCGATAAGCGTCGGAGAGGGCTGAAGACGCCGGTGAGAGGTCAGGGACCGTATGTCGGTATGTAAGGTAACGTATGTAAGAGGAAGAGATAGAGATAGATGGACAGCCCGAGGAGGGAACCTGCTGGCGAGGCTTTGAGCTGAAGAAGGAGGGGGGGGAGATGATGAGGAAAAACAAAGTCGATCAGGAACCAGAGACTCACGATCCAACAGGGCCGGTAGTAGCCTTTATACTCGGGACCTGTTTGAAGACTGACAGTGACCACGAGTTACGTATCGTCTGTTTTGCAATGCCATGCCTTTGCTCTGCTAACCCCAGCAAGCCGGACCAGACCAGCAAAGCCAGGTGACTCTCCAAAAAATTGGAGTACAGGAGCAGAAAAAAATTGCAATGATTCCCGTGCATTTCTGCCCCCTCAAGGCAAGCACGTTGACTGCATCCTTGTAGCTTCGTGAGCTCCCACGACTTCTTTGGGGACGGAATTCGATCACGATGATGACTTCACCTGCAGCACAAATGGGCAACTATTACCAAATAATTATGGTCTAAGCCGTTTCGAGTAGGCATCAGCCTCAATTAGCGTTTCTGATTGGCTTGGGGTGTCAAGTACCTTTTGCAAGTAAGGTATTCCAGACAGACATCGACAGGTAAGGTACGGCGAGGGGCAGATGGATGAGGTACCTCCAGCTGAGGCACCCTGACCCTCACCCTCACCCTCACCGTCGTCCACAGGGCCACAGGGCCACAGGGCAGGCCGCCCGCTGCGAACCGGGGCTGGACTGGCCTGCTGCTGGTACCTGAGCCTCTGCTGAAGCAAATGAGGCCTGGGAGCTGCCACATGGGGCACATCACATGCGCCAATGGAGGGGCACCAAGGAACTACCAAGGGCCCAAACCTCCACTGGGGAGCCCACGATGCCACCGGCCGGTAGGTAAGCACCGTAAGGTACCTAAGGTAAGGCAAGGTACCTTCTGCAGTACGTACTCGGTACCTTGTTTTTCTCGGTGACGACGACCAAGTCTCCAAGTACCGCGCCTCACCTTGCTCTGTACACATACCTGTCTACCTAGCAAGACGCAGCGGTTTTCACCTCACATCAATGTATTCTTCCAGGCACCGATCTACGTATCTACCAACACTCATCTTGGACGGCTATTCGAGGCTCTTCTCTCCACACAGTTTGTTTTTGATTCCTGTTGCAATTTTTTTCGTCCGCTTTCTCTTTCGTTCCCTTGCGTCTGCCACTGTGTGTTTCGTTCGTCCGTCGATGAAGCGTCGGAGCAGGCATCCGACGTTTTTCTTGTGAATCCCCATGCTCTTACTTCCCTCACTGCCCTGGTACGTGTACTTCGTTCTGTGCGGGCATACGCAGTAAGTGGGAGGGAGGTGGTGTCTAGGGGGTAAGCGCCGCCCGTAAAAGTAGGTAACAGAGTTGCAGGCCACTCGCCAACCCGGCCTGCCTTAGCCGGGCCGGTGGGAAAGGGAGACAGAGGTTAATCGTAGATCTTGATGTCAGAAGGCAGATCCCGCCGACACCCAGCCCCAACCCGCTTACACGCCGCCTTTCAACCCGCCTATTTCAACAAGACAACTCACTCACAGAGCAAAACTTACCGCGGGACAACTCAAGACACGGCCAGCTCAACTCGGTTTTGCTTGTGGTATTGTTGTCCTCTCACTCATCAGTGTCAACTCGTAATCTTCTCTACAAAGTCAACAGCAAAAAAGTCCGGGCAGCCCCAGCCGGCCTCTCCGCCTCGGCCCTCAGTCTTTTGACAGCCAACCCCGTGTACCAAAAAGAAAATTTAATATCTGGTTCCTGTGCGTACCCGGTTATCCGCCCGCTGGGCCCCTCTTCGTAGTCATCATCCCTTATCAGCGTCCGCCCCGAACATCTTCGGCACTGGGTAACCCGCCGTCCGTTGTTCCCTTACTTCCCATTGCGCAATGAAAAACCGGTATTTCAGAGAATGGTACGTACAGCTTAAATCTACACTGTATGGAAACGTCCAAAAATTGCGTCTTTTCCAAATTTCATCCAGTTTGCCAACCGTCTTGATGCAACGCAATGCACCAGGGCCATGTCGCGAACACGACAACCAAAGAAATAGGGACAAGACGCGGCGGTACCTCTGTACCTGCTTTCCAGCAACCCAACTCAGGAACCTTGGGTTACGCAGCCTTGAAGAGCGTCAAACAGCGTCGCGTAACGGGATCCGGGTCCAGAATCCGCAAGTCTCGAGTACCTCCGCCCCGAGTCGGGTTCGGCTGGGCCCTTTTACCGCCTCTTTCGTGTTGCAGCTCAAAACGCCCGCTCGTCAGCGCCGGCCCAGTCTTGACATCCACTGTAGTCTGTTCGTGGCCCCCCAAAATGGACTACCACCCCGGCATGTAGTTGCACTTTGCAAAGAAGTTGGACCGTCTCCAGTGTAAGAGAGTCGGGCATGTTAAAAGTAGAAACGTATCGATAAGAAGAGAAAAAGACGTATTCGCAGAAGTACACTTGAATCACACAAGTTAAAGTACACATCGAAATGTAGGTACATGCCTTTTGACCCGTTACGACTCGAGTCGCGGGTTGGACATGCCAACTCCCCTGTCAAACCGAACCAGCCCAATGACCTCTACAACAAGTCCACAACCAGCGAAGCAAGCCATGTTCGTCCCTGGTGTTGTTTCCATTAGTGTACGCCTGGGTCCGGAATCCCCAGTTTCCCCAAAAACAACGGAGAGGCGAAGACCAGACCACCTCACAGCAATCAAATCCGAGACCCCTTTTGCCCACCTTACCCCAGGTTGTGGGCATCGGACTAACCCCCCAACAAGCTAGGGCCCTTACGCAGTGCCTGGACGGGACGGGGGAAGAGGGTAAGAGTAAGAGCAGCAACAACACATACAAACACAGTCAAGATCCAGAAAAGACGAAAGGATCACGAGATGGCATATGTTGGGGATGGCCCTGCCCGCCCTGCCACGCCGAATGGCCCGGGAGCGCGGCGGCTGACCCCACAAACCCCGCCTAACCATGGCGGCGTTGGTCTCTCCAAGAGGCGTACACTTGTTGATGAAGCGTCTCCGTAAGATGCCAGTTTCCATTACCCCCAGATTACTTGATCGTGCAGCATTCGAGGGGCCACGGGACAGACCGACTTGGCCCCATTGGGGGACGACGACTCTGGAATGACAAGCCCCTACCTAGGTAAGGCAGGCATTGATACCAAGTTGACCCAGGCTTCTTTCTTGAAGTCCCGAAATCCCCTTTTTCCTTTCCCCAGTTTCTTGGCCCCGTGGTACTAGTAACTAGGTACCGCGAAGGCGCGATGAATGGGAGATATTTGCACTGGCACCAATGCAAGTCTGGCCCAGCCGGCCGGGGCCCCGACCATCGAGGTCCCCGCGAACCCGCATCGCCATTACCAAATGGAAAAGCCATTGTAAAACACTG